GGTAGCTCTCACTTTATTTCTGCGTCAACATTACATGAATGTAGCTTTTATTGATATTTTGGGGGGGGGGAATAACTCCTGATTTTATGCCAGAATAAGTACAAGGAGAATCGGGCCCTATATATATATTTCAGGAACAAAGTGTAGTTTCCAATAAATATACTTAAATGTGCGTTTGTTTGCCAAGTGGTGTTGCTTCTGTCCTGGGTTATGAGAAAACAAATTAATAGATTTCCTACTCTTTCTCTCTCCTCTGCCAGCATTCACACTCCTGGTATACATGCTTTTCTAGGTGAGAGAGTTTTTGCAGGAGCTCCTTGCATCTTGAAGGTTGCGGTGTTGTTAGGCCCAGAGTTGGTTATAAAATCTCTTTAATGAAGAGCCAGATTCTGCCCTTAATAAGAAGCTCAGGATTTGACTTTTTCTTTCATGCTGATACAGGGTACCAGTATAAAGTGTATTTATACTTGCATTACAGCCTCGTTTCACTTCCAGCACAGTGTAGACAGTCACATTTTTGAGTCTCCTTATACTGGTAGAAAGGATCTTGGAGTAAATACAAATTGGGCCCTCATTGTCTCTAGCACCATCATGCAAGTGAAGAGTGTGTATGACTGTGCTTTTAAAAAGATGGACAGGAGGCATGATTCCACTGATGAATAGAACTGACAAACTTTTTACTTGATTTCAAAGCTACAAGGCAATTCTGACATTCATGACTTTGCCAGTTGTGCCTCGAGAATTGAATCATGTCATATTCTGGTCAAGGCTTTTTAGAAAAAACCCTGAGTGCTGTCTGTTCCACTCCATTTAGATGCATACTGGGTTAAGAAAATGTAGGATTTCCTTAACTCTGTATCTTACCCTTATCTGTCCAAAATAAATATTCTATCAGTAGGAAATGTTATGCTTTCATTTGTCTTACGTTGGGGTAGTGTCACGCATTACTATCCCCATACTTCTTCAAATGATGATCCTCATTCTTAAGCAATGTATTTCTTAGTTCCACCTGGAGATCAGGATTCCTAATGAGACTCTAGGGTTTTTTCCCAATCTGATTTTTTGCTGGGGAGGTAAATTTCCATAACGGAGGATGAAATGTAGAACAGGGTGACCTATAACTGGGTTGGGGGGAGTGTGGAGACTGTACAGGGGTAGGCTGGGGCTTTAAATAAATACATTTTAACATCCATTGTTACTTTCCTAGTGATAGTTCCACTACTTTACCTGTAAAGAAAATGTTTTGGCACTGAAGACCTACGCAAATACAGTTTAATATGGCATTATTGATTAATTAGCACAAGACAGCACTATCGAGTGATGTTGAAAACAATTATTGTCACATTGTAAACTAACACCAACTATATGGTGCTACTTGGAAAGGAAGGAAGGGACGCTAGTTGTGTCTGGTGGCTGCTTGCTGTTAGCTTCATGTTTACAGGTACCTGTAAGTGAGTTTCGCCCAGAAAGGTGGTGTCACAGGGTGAAAGTGGCATGACCTTTGATAGCGGAAAATGGAAGCGAAAGGGAAGAAATCTGTATTAACTGGGAAAAATCATTTGACTACAGATTTTAGATTTGGAAAAGGCTGGATGGGATTTGACATTTTATACCTGGGGTGGTCTTTTGCTGGGGGAGGCAGGGAAGAGGGGAGCTGCTGAAAAGTTTAAACTTTTGCTTGTGTATTCATTTATTTTGCATGGCCAGATGGGAGAATTTTAAGTCAGCAAGAAGAAAGAAAAGAGGCTTATGGAGAAATGTATTTGGGGACTTTGTACAATACATAGTAGGTATAAACATGGCTTTTATATATCATTTTTCTTTTAAACACAAGTCATGTATTTATTAAGTTTTATGGCATCAGGTAAAAACAAAAAAAGTTAAATTTGGGGGGGGTGAATAAAGGAGAAGGTACAAACTACTTTAAACGTGTTTGTGTGCAAAATGTTACACAAGGCTGATGCACACAAGTATATGCTGTAAGGCAATGGGGATGACCTGATTAGCAAAGCCCTCATGAAAAGCTGAGGAGATCCCCACTGTAGCAGCATTCCCTTCCTTGGAGACCTGCACTTTTCTGTTAAGTCCCAGATGAAGGAAACCTTCACAGAGCAACAAACACTAATGGCAAGCTTTTGAAAATGGCAGGGACAGAGCCAGAGGTAGGGGGGGGGGGGATATAAAAGCACTTCAAAGAGCTGAGATGGTCTTCGCAGCTTCATGTATGTAGATGAGGGAGGCATGCTAACAAGTTATATTGGGAGGATAGGGAGTATTGTTCATTTGGAAGGTTGTGTTGCATCAAACAGCTAGCTCTGTTTTTGTTTTGCTGTTTATCCTATTGGATGTGAGCCAGTATTCAGCAGAAGGAAGCAGTAGGGTAAGATAAAATAAGATGCTGACAACACCCTTCCCATTTCTAAGTGCTTAGGGCCTTATTTTCTGAGGTACTGACCAACTGAAGGTCCCATAGACTGAAAGAGGAGTTGTGAATACTTGGTACCTATTAAATAAGATGTATAGTGTTTCAGATCCGAGATAGAAAATATTGTATAAACATACATGGAAGATACAAATATCTCTTGTATGTCTGCATAATGTGTGAACTGTATTTGGAATATTTTTGTATATTCTTGCTGTATATGGCTTTAGGTCTTGTGATTGGGGCACAGCACTTGGGATCAGGAGAGTAAGGTTCTGTTCATGGCTTCACCACAGACTACCTTGTTGCCTAGTGTAACAAATTTCTGTTACATAGCAGACAGTTAGTTATTTTGGCCCTCCTTGTCAGACATGCTCCATCCGTCCCATGCCAGCTGTTTCAATGGGAGCCACAAGCTCTCAGCCTTTAGAACTGCTTGTCAGGAGTAAAGCCTTTGCCCCACACACAAATCTTACCTTGGGACTTGGTGGGGTGGAGGGTTGGCTATCCATGCTTAAAACTCAAGGATTATTTATTGTGGGATATATTTGGTTCTGAGCTGTGAATTCAGGCAAAGGAGCAAAGGATTTTAATTCTTCCTCCTTCTTTCCTCCCATCCTATTTCAGGGGCTATGGGAATGGGTAGTCAGCACTTGAGACACCATCAGTATCTATTGCTGCATAAGCAGGGACTTGCTATAAAATTGCAGTATAGCCCTCTGTGTGGCATTGTTTCTCTTAGCAACAATTTCTGCGTGAAAACAAAAAATACCTATTGCCTTCTGTAAATTAAGAGCTAAAATGTTTCATAATATAAAATGTTGGTTTCCTGTTTTGATGGCAAGACTTTATTCTGATACTAAACCACTGTGATCTGTTTGTCCTTGTTCTATATGGGCTTTATTATAATGTTCATGCCTTAGCTCTCATTAGTGTCTTGATGGATAGGAGATGGACTTCAGCAATTGTATGATTAGAAAGTCACATCTTGTTATTATCTGTTCTCTTGTGTTTTTGTCCATATCATTATACCCTGCCTAGTGATGATACTAATGATCTGAAACTGTAACATTGACACAGGTGTCTGAACCTTATTTTTTTTTTAACAATGGGATGGAGGAAGAGACCCTTAAATGTAGCTAATGGGATTAGTTTATCTGTTTCCTGGATGAGGGACTGGATAGCTCAGTTGGCAATGCTATATAGATAGAACTTTTACATTGCATTTTAGTCTTTCAGATTTAACCTCAGTCCTATCTGGCTTCTGCCTTTTAGCCCACATAAAATGAGATTAGAGATGCCTGTCCAGTCTTAGTGAACATATCTGTATTGCAGATCTACTGCTATAATTGGCACCTTTATGAGGGTCCTAACAGAGGCTGAATATTTACCTAGATGTGGAGGCTGAAATACCTGCTTTTGAAGCTGATTCTCTGGTCAGAAATTACGCTTATTGTCAGGCCAGTGTTTCTTGCTGACAAAGCTACATCTGGTCTTTAGATAGACAGCATGACTCTGGACAAGTTACTCCAGCAATTTTCATGAATTGCCTAGTGTTTCAGCTGTGTGTGTCTTATGTTAGGGATAGCTAAGCATACTGATACACTGAATTGATGGACTTGATCAGAGGTGCCCCCACAGCACTCCATTAACTTCTTTAGGATTTGGATAATTCCCTGAGGACCCAATTCAAAGCTTGATTGAAGTCAATGGAAAGATTCCCAGGCTGTACATCAGTCTAACAGGGCAAACAGGCAAACATGAGAAACAATAGAATGCACTTATCCCATTTGTATACATGAACTGTGAACCAAAACACAGCTGGCCCAGTAAGTCTCATTTGCCTTGGCAATCCTCCATTACATGATTAAGGCACTGCCAGCAGAAAAGCAGGGCTTCATGTATCAGCTCTCTCCTCTATCATGAAACATGTCTGTGCAAGAACTGTGATTTGGAGATTATCTACACACCACACATACCCTGCTTCATTAAATCATTGCACTTTGAACTCCTTTTGTAAGGAGAGTTCATTTCTATGTACTTATTGACTGTGTAGTTCCCTCTCTCACTCTGGAAAACTGCACATAAATACACAAATGCTGGGGCTAAGTATGTAGGGATAGGTGAATATTTTTGACAACTTGTTCCTTGAGCACAAAGAATGCAGTACTACTTACATTTGGTGTTTGTATGGAAGGAAGGTGGTTCTTATGGTTTAGATAATAGACTGGGGTGTAGGAGATCTGGGTTCAATTCCTAGCTCTGTCATGAAATCTCTGGGTGACCTTGGGGCAAGTCACTTCATTGGGCTTTAGTTCCCTGTCTGTAAAATGTAGATAAAAAATGTTTATTCCTTCAACTGTATCGCGTCTTGGATTGCAGATCAGTTAGAGTGAGGTTTATGGCTACCATATGCATATGCAGCACGCAGCACCTCGCACAATGGGATTCTCATCTTGGTTGGAGTTGCTAGGCACCACTGTAAATAATACTGATATTGGTATTAGCTCATTGGAACTAGGAAAAGATTGATTTTTATTATATATACATATATATTTTTCCCTAATTTCAGCAAATTCAGTAAAGCTAGAAATGCAAAGTGATGAGGAATCTGACAGGAAACCCCTGAACCGGGAAGATGAGCTCAGGGGTCATGATGAAGGAAGCAGCCTGGAAGAACCCCTCACTGAGAACAACGAGATGGTTGATAACAGAAAGATCCAGGATCTGTCAAGCGAGGGAGGAATCCGTCTTCCGAATGGTAAACTGAAATGTGACGTCTGTGGCATGGTTTGCATTGGGCCCAATGTGCTAATGGTACATAAAAGGAGCCACACTGGTAAGCAGCTGAAAGGAAAACTGGTGACTGCCTGTGGCATCTGATGTTGATATTACCTGACAACTATTCTCTTGCCTTTTTATTCATGGGTGACAATGGGCTGGGGAGGGAAAGGATGGATTTGCTTTTTCAAAATTCTGGTGGCATTCTGTTGTTGGCAAGCAAAAAGCTTCCTCAGCATTGAATCCCAACCTTTGCTTCTTAGGCACAGCAAAGAAAAAAAGTCCGGAAATCAGCCTTTGCTGTTCTTGACCAGCAGCAATATGGTAAAAGTTCAGTGCCAGTAAAATTGACAGTATCCATTTTTGCATGCCTTTAAAATTAAAAGAAGTGGCCAAAGTTACTAGGTTCACAGCTTTCAGACTTTAAGATGTGGGTCTTTATAAAGATTTTGTGAAAACCTTGGGCCACACCGAGATCAGAACCCTGGTTCAAGAAAGCACGTAGGTGCTTATTTGTAAACATGTACTTAAGTCCCATTGAAGTTAAGTGCATATTAAGTGCTTTCCTCAATCTGGGTCTGAAGGAATGCCTTCTGCTTTTATCAGAGTTTTGGGGAAAGGTCTTGCTTGCTTTTTTTATGCCTTTTCATATTGCTAATGAGCAGAGGGATAACCTACCCTTAGATATTAGGTATTCTACATATATAACTTAACTTCCAAGGTAGAAAAAAAGCAGTGGGTTAACATAGAATAAAAATATTTGTATAGTCCCTTCAAATTAATATTTGCAGTCAAGTGGTATGCACTTGATGACAAAGAAATCAATAGAACCGCTGTACAGAGCTATAATAAATATATAGTTAATGCTCTGTATACAAATTGTATTGATGATATTTAGCCTGTATGTATAATGCAAAATACTGCAGTAACTTTTATGATGCATTCATGATTTTAGACAGCAATAACAGCAGGGGAAAAGCATTTGTTAGAGAACTGAAATTTTGATTGACATTTTGACATACCATTACTAGGAAAGGAAGAGTGAACAGTCAAGTATAACTTATATAGCCAACTAAGTTCTCAGTTTTTTGATAGTCCCTGAAAGTTCTTTATGACATGTACATACATATGAGCATATATACTAGGTACATCAAAGCCCATTTTTATTTTTAGTGTCCAATTTAGGCACTCACATGAGATGTTTCTTTAGGTACATAATTAAAAAAAAAAAAGAAGTTTTTTGATGTGCTGAGCACTGGTAGGTTCTTTACTTACAGTGGATCTGCCATACTTTTAGGTACCCACTTTTAAACAAGCAAACAGAGTGCTTTCCAGTATGTTTTCTTATATATATGCAGAGGTAGAGAATGTGTAACACTGGAATTTTCTCAAAGCTATTAAAATTTCCTTATAGAACTATAGCTCTTTCCCCTGAGGTAGGAAGGCTGTGATTCACTACTCTATAGAGACGATTTGAAGCATGTAGAAATGGCATTTCTTTTATTCTGTACCCCGGCACACTCCTCTTAGTCAACCAATTTGCAATCTAGGCTGCTGCTTCATTCTTCACCATAGGAGGGGATTGCTTGCATGTCCATATCCTTGACTTTAATGGCAAGAGAATAAAATGTTAAAAATACTATATAGGGGGAGATACCTCAAATATAGCATCACATTGTCATTTGGAACGAGCTAGCCTGAAACTTTGGGCATGCCCCTGAGTCCTAGATTATCTGTGGGTATATAGTCCCAGAGGGAACACTGGGAAGGAAGTTATTTTAGCTAGTGAAAAACGGGGAGGCCTATTATGTGTCAGCCCTCACAGACCTTGAGAGAGTTCTCATATTCCTTTATCCCCATGAGTTTTGCTGGGCAATGCACATGTGTTGGCACCTGATTCCCCGTTACTCTCCTGCATGGCTTCCTTGGACCATGGCACAATCTGGCCTTCTGTTTGCAATGCAGAAATTGAAATTCTTTTTCTCTTCAGAAAATGGAGATGCCTTCCATAGCAACAATGTGGCATACCTTACAAATTGTACACAGCCCTAGTGGCCACAATGCTAATCATTGTAATTTGCATGTCCTGTGTACCCCGTGTTAGATGCCTCCTTATTTCACTGCATGGTCTGCCTTAATTGCAGCCTCCCTGAGGCACTCCTCCTCCTTTACTGGTGAAGGATCCCTTGACCCCTTACTGCCCACAGTCAGAGTAAGAAAGTAAGCTCTGCCAAACATAGGACACTGGCGCAGATTATTCCTCCCAGAGCAATGGTAAAAGCTATCAATGCTCAATTCAGCTTTGGGTTTGCTCCTAGAACAGTACAGTTTATTCAGGATTTGTAGTAACTTCACAAAGGAGCCCATAATGCTACAGCTGTTTGCAATCATTACTATAATACATTAAGCCTTTTAAGGCATTGATAATTCAGTTGAAGCATTTTTCTAAACTCATAGGGGACCCTAAGTTTTAGGATTTCCATTTATTTGTCATAAACGAACGAATGAACAAAAAAAAACCCAAACCAAAAACAACCCCTCCTTCCCACCCCCTCCTCCCAGACTTCAGCACAGGAATGAAATGTGCATCACTAGACAGTTTGTGCTGCAACCTCCCCACTCATTTCACGAGAACAACGTGTAAAGTCTCATTTACTTCCCTTCTGTTTCCACCCTGTCTTGTCTTTTCTTCCAAACCTCACATTATATGTTGCCCACAATAAGTTTGCTGATCATAGCATCTGTACAAGATTTCTGTGTTACTGCATAAGCTAGGTAATCAGGTAATATTGTCATCGGATACTCCAGGCACTCGTTTGGAGGTATTGAGAGGAAAAAAAAAGTAGGGACAATAATTCAATTTGAGGAAATAAAACAGGAATTCTGGTGTTGAAAGTGAATCTTTTCTCTTTCTAGTGTTAACCCTTTATGGGCATGAAAGAAACTCATGCCTTCCCACTTTCAGCAAAGCTGATACCACTTATTACATTGATGCTCTTCTGTAGCCATGCCTTTTCCTTAAGTGAGGTGTATGTGATTTCCTCACTTACTCTGAATAGTAACTTATTCCATAATACCTAGCTCTGCCTGAGTGCTTTTCATCACTTGTTATCAAAGTGCTTTACAAGGAAGATGGGTATCATTAACCTCATTTTAATGATGAGGAAATTGAGACACAGATGGGTGAAGTGATTTGCCTGTCTTAATAAGACAGGTCATTGACACGGCCAGGACTGGAACCCAAGTCTCTTGAGTCCAAGTAATGCTGTATCCACTAATCAGTGAAAGTACTCATGGTCAAGTTGTTTTTCACTGGGAATAATCATATTAGTACCCCTGTGTTAACCCACATTTACACATTGGTAAAGTATCTTATTTATTCTGTTCTAGGTGATATCTTTGCGGGGACTCTCATACCTTTCTTTTCAATCCATGTTCAATTTAGTACCACAAAGTAGAATGAAATAATATTTACCCATACCTGTTACATACAGATGTACATGAAGCTGAGGATTTTTGCTGTTTTTACTTGCACATTCATAGCATAAAATTTAGAGAGCTATTTTAACTTTTGTTTCATGTAGGGAACAGGCTTTTTGGCACAATTTGATAAGAGAAGAAAAACCCAGTTGTGCTAGTATAGTATTAAAATGATATTTGTGCTTAATATGATTAACCAGAAACAAATACATACCCTTATTAAATGGCTAAAATAATTTCACTCGACTGTCAAAAACAATTTTTGTGAAAGCTTAAAATAATTTAATTCATAAGACAGTTGCAGACACCTGCCTCTTGCAATATGGAGTTATTTAGCATAGGATAGAAGGATCAAGGCTGTAGGGTTAAATGAAGGATGAATGTGATATAATAGTCTGAGTATCTCAATCAGTGGTTCTCAACTTTTTTTTTAGGGTTATGGCACCTCTCAGTAGGCTTAAGGCACGCCTCGGAAAATGCCAGCTCTTTGTTTCCACTCACTTTTTTGACTACAGAAAATTAAGAGAGCAGACCTCAAGAAAGACCACAACAGGTCAGAATGTTTTTGATGCTATGGATTCATATTTGAAATCCCTGGCTGGGTCCACACGAGCAGGGGCATGCCTTGACAGGAGCACAAATAGTAGTGGCACAAACTTGTGCTGCTACTTTGTGTCCTAGTGCATGCCCCTGCCTGTGTGCTTTGCAGCAGGACCTATTGTACCGCTATGCCATGTGCTGTGCAGGGGTGTGAGAGACCAGAGCTAGCCATCCCACGTGCTGAAGCACCCCATGCCCTGGCCAGCTGGTGAGCGGACCCTGTAGAGATGGGGGAGCAGCATCTCCATCTCTGCATGCTGCAGGGCCACAGTGTTGAGCCTCCCTGTGCCCCAGCCAACTTCTTCTTGCCTGGCTGGGGCGCAGTGTACATCAAGACAGGAGCAGGCAGTCTTGGGCTGGCTGCTTCCCTGTTTGTGTGCCTCAGCACAGGGGCTCCACTGCAGAGCCCCCATGCTGAGACACACTGTACCCCAGCCAGCTGTTCCCATCTTGCAGCACACTGCACCCCAGCCAGCCAGGGAGGAGCTGACTGGGGCACAGGGTGCCTCAGCAGGGGGGCTCCACATTGTGTGGAGATGAGAGACCAGGTCCAGTCTCTGCATTTGTTCTGGTGCTTGCCACTTTGGCGTGGTTTGCGCCACTTTTTTCTAGGTTATTTTTTTTGCTACCGGGAAATCCCAGTAGCAAATTTTTCCCCGGCATTGCAAATTAGCAGCAGCGAACACTGATTAACATGCAACTGGTGTGGTTTGTGGCACTGCAAAGAGGTTTGAAGCATCACAAACCACACGTACCTGCATGTCTGGGTCCTGCCCCTGGGTTTATCTTGTGGATCGTGTTTGCAGACCTAATGGTGTTAATATTGCGTGACACAGTGGGGCACCTCCGGATCTCTAGGCATTCCAGGGTGCTGTGGCACCTGGGTTGAGAATCGCTGATCTAGATGAACAAGCTCACAAATATCCAGCATAAGAAATACGGAAATTGAACAAGTTTATCCCCTCCCCTTTTTTTTTA